TAAACCAATTCAACAAGCAGCCACAAAATCACTTCCATTTCTGGATAGTTAGCCCGGACATTTTCAATCGCGTAGTGTGACTTCGGAGCCGATGACTACATGTGAGCCTCCCTTCAAAACCGGAGCTATGCTGGCAAAATTAGGTAGGTTGGATGGCTCAATGAAGGTAAATTGACTTACCGCTGAGTTCCAAGCAATAGAGTGAAGAATGTGATGAGAGTGTTGAAAAAGAATGGTAATATCTCCATGCACACCTGGAATTGGTCAGGGATGACGTCATAGCCAACACAAACGTAAGTGGCCAGAAAATGTTTCAAATTCCACTGAAATCACCTTCTGAAGATAGCAGAGAAATTCGGTTTGGTTCAGGTCTCGCATATGGCCGAGATTGTAGTAGTAGATGGTGAATGGTAGGGGTGATGCGGCCATCATCAACGCACTCACCGCCATCCAAAACAACGGCTCAACTGTGGCACGCTTCTAAAAATGCTGCTTTGAAAACCATGGCAAAAACTTTTTCCCGTGTTGTGAGCCTCCTCTGTGATCCTGGATCAAATACAAGTGCATGGCTCAAGGTTGATCTTCACTGAGCGGACGGCCAGCCCTCGTTTCAACTTAGATATAAGATCCAGTGCGCGCTAGTTCATCGGCCGCACGGATTCGTAAGATGTTTGTTCAACAGCTCCGATTTTCGGACATTCCGATTTCCGATGGCATAGTGAATCCCCGAAGATTATTTTTTGTTTCCTTTAATCCAATAACAAGGCAAAACCAAGATAAAGAATTCAACGTCATTAATAGGCTCAGAAATTGGAACGAAAACGAGAAAAATTCAAAACTGCCGTGCAAGGTGGAACCCAAAAATCGAAAAAAATAAACCCTGCAGGGTGCGGGAATCGAACAAAATTTCTTGCTCTTTGAAAAAGATCAGCCATAAAAGCTGAAAATTTGCTCTTGTGTTTTCTCAGTCCCGTATATCCTATAGAATAGTCGTTGGAAAAGAAGGGTTTCCGATTCCCGAGTTCCCACTCTTTTCATGTTCGCATCCTGCAGTTAATATTGCCGCCGTTTTGATTGCTTTTCCCTCGAGCTCAAAAATGGAAAATGGCCCAAAAGTTATGGTGCTTGTTTGCTTTGTCGTCCCAGATCCTTCCCGTACATACGTCAATGAATATATTCGATTTGATAATAACTGTGGGTAACTTGTCTGGGAAAGCGCTATTTGAAGACCAACGCATACAAACAACCCTGCACTACACTACAGTACCCACCGTTTTCTGTTCGTTTAGTACCAATATGACGACACCGTTGGACAACAGCACGATCACCGATAAAACTGGCAGTAGGAAACCGTAGATGATCTTCATGTTTGGCTCGTTTTCCTAAAAAAAAATGCATTTCAAGAAATGTGGAGATGAACATGGTGATTACCGTACCTGATCGACGAATTGAATCAGGGTGGCCGGTACGCAAATGTTCATGTAGTGATCGAATACTGTGAACGGATCTTCACATACCGGCAGCGCCTCACCGTAGATCTGAAAGAAGGAATTTATAGCAGGGGAATAGGATCTCAGATTTCCATCAAAAGCGAATAAGGCCCGACTGGAGTCAGCGCTTGAGATTAAAGCCATTTCTCGAAATCTATTTCAAAAACATCTCTCACTTCAATTTTTCTATTTTTAAGAATTATTTGATATTCGTTGGATGGCGGAGGCAATTCCAGATGACTTCTACTGTACAGTTTGCTTTTATTTAGTGCGTTCACAGTTTTCAACTGCAGTGGGAGCACATTCTAAGGGCCCGCCTGAGGGCACAGGCGTTTTATAAAATGAAAATCTTCAAACAATAGAATTGGGTTCCGGAAACATTGTTATAGTCAGAACAGTGATGATGGACTTTTGAGGTTTGTAATGGAAAAATAGTTCAATTGATTTTGCCTAATTGTACATTAAGCTTAACAATTTCACTAAACAATCAAGTGTTGTGCTTTATTTCTGCTGTTATTTTGATTATCCACAAAATCTCTTTCCTGATTGTAAACGCGTTCTCGAAGAATACTCGA